ACATTTCAGTAGCAGCATGGCAAAAGAAGGGACCTCAGCAGAAGTCTAGGCACCTTGAAGGGATGCAGTCATTTGTATACTTGTGAAAATGAAAGGCGAGCCTGGTCTACATACTGAGTTCCAGGCCAGTTGGGACTAGAGGGAGACCCTGTCTCGAAAAACAAAAAACAAAAACAAAGAAACCCCAAAACAAAACAACACAACAACAAAAAAGACCAGAGCCAGGATCCCCCTAAGCAAGACCTGCTAGGAGATCTGCAATTGAAACTGCACAATGGCTTCCTGCAGTTGTAAAGTAACTGCAAATTCTAAACACCAGAATCCTTGAAAGTAAAAATTAAAACAAACCTGGAGAGATGGCTTGGGGGTTAAGACCACTGACTACTCTTACAGAGGACCCGGGTTTGACTCCCAGCACCCACATGGCGGCTATGAACCATCCTTAACTTCAGTTCCAGGGGAATCTGAAGCCCTCTTCTGACCTCAGTGGCACTGCACACCACGAAATGAATAAATAAATAAATAAATAAATAAAATATTTAAAATAAAACAAACCTAAAGGCTTATTGGGTTTGCAGCTTAATCATACAGAGAAGAATTACTTTAAGTGGTTTTAAACCACAGATTCTTATTTTTTTCTAGTGCTGGGGCTCAAACCCAGAGTCTCACAAGTGCTAGGCAAGCACTCTACCATTGCACTCCAACCCCAGTCCCTAAAACACAATGATTTGACCATTCACTGCTAGTGTGATATACCCTAAATAAAAAATAGTTGCAAACCTTTTAAAATAATTATATTAGGAATGATATTGATAGTTATTCTGAAACTACTCTATATCCATATAAATATAGTATGGCTAAAGCAAAGAAATATATTAATATAAAGAATCAAAATTTTTAACATAAGAGAGAAATAGAATTTCAATGAAAGAAATGTAGTTCTAAAGTGTTAATAAAATTAGAGACATCATTACATTACAAAGGAAGAAGACAGGTCTCCTTGATAAATGCTTTTATTCAAACAGGCTACAAAAAGCATGCCCCCCCACCAAAAAACAAAACAAAACAGTACAATGCTTGCAAACATGGTCTCTAAGTACCATTCCTCACTGAGAGAAACATCACACCTTAGAGAAACAACTGATTCCAAATAGAAGGCAAAACAATGCACAGGAGCCTGGACTATCTTCTTAAGGCAGAAATCAAAGAAGTTATCAAGTACTACTAGAGGGCAGAAGAAATGGCTCAGTGGCTAAGAATGCACCCTGCTCTTACAGAGGATCTAAGTTCAGGTCCCAGTACTCAGGTTGGTAGCTCACAACCACTTGCAACTATAGCTCTAAGGGACCAGATGCCCTCTTCTGGCCTCTGAGGGCACCTGCACTCACGTGACTATACACAGACATACACAAATACACATTGTTTAAAATAAAATAAATCTTGGGGCTGGAGAGATGGCTCAGCTGTTAAGAACACTGGCTGCTCTTGCACAGCATCCAGGTTCTGTTCCCAGCACCCATATGGCAGCTGACAACCACTTATCTGTAACTTCAGTTCCAGGGATCCGTCACCTTCTTCTGGCCTCTTGAGGGCATTGCATGCATGTGGTACACTTACACATATGTAGGCAAAATCACTCACAAACATAAAATTTATTTTTATTAATAAAAATAAATAAATCTTTAAAAAAAGAGTCTTGGGCTGGAGAAATGTCCAGTGGTTAGGAGCACTGCACTGGTAAGAGCACTGGCTGCTCTTCCAGAGAACCTGGGTTCGGTTCCCAGCATCCACACGGCAGCTAAGAACTGTCTTTAACTCAGTTCCAGGGGATCCAGTGCCCTCTTCTGGCCTCTAAGGGCATTGCACACATAGGTACAATTATATGCATGCAGGCAAAACACTTATATACATAAAATAAACAAACAATTTTAAATATAAAATACTTAGGAAGAAAAGTAATATAAGATATATAAGATCTCTTCAGTAAAAAATACTAAGTACAAGTTTATTGAGGATGTATTATTTTATATTTATTCTTTTTATTTTATGTGTATGAGTGTATTGTCTGCATGTACATAAGTGCATTCATGCTGTGCAATGCCTGTGGAGATCAGAGAGGGTGTCAGACACCCTGGAATTGGTATTATGGATGGTTGTTAGTTCGATAAGTGGGTGTTGGGAATCAAATCCAGGTCTTCCGCAAGAGCAGACAATGCTCTTAACTGCTGAGCCATTTCTCCAGCCCTGGAGATGCATTATTTTAAAATTCATATGGAATGCAAAAGATGGCCACCTTTAAAATGTTTTAAAATATCAGTATACATTTGTTATAATGGAAGAAAGGAAAGAAGACAAACTTCTTGTCATAAAAAGAACAAAATTAGAGCTGTGTGTTAGCTGAACTTAAGACTTATTAGGAAACCATGGTAATAAGATAGTATGGGATTTGCGTAAGAAAAGAAATAAATAGATGGAACAAAAAGAGTCTAGGAAAAGACCAGACAGATACACAAAAGTGGTGAGCAGGGAGCAAGTCTACAGAGCATGAGCTTTTGGAGGGCATTTACAAACCAACCCATAACACCCATTTCATTACATACACAAAATTCATTTGAAATGGATCATGACCCAAATAGAAAAGCAAAAACATCCCAACCCTCCCACAAAAAATATGAGTAAAATCACTGTCATATTAGGATAAGCAAACATTTTTAAAGAAAAAAAATCCACTAACCATGAAAGAGAAAAATTATAAAGCAGATCATCACCAAAAATGTTTTAATCTATGCATGAAGACATCATTAAACAATGAATAAGCAAATCAAATCCTGAAAATATGTATTCAAAATATGTTCAGTACACATATCTGAGAAAGGCTTTAGATTCAGACTACTTAGAAGTACAAATGACAGTAAGAAACAGTCAATAAGGCTGGAGAGCTGGCTCAGCAGTTAAGAGCACTGGGTGATCTTGCGGAGGACCTGGGTTTGATTTCCAGCACCTACATGGTGGCAAACAACTGTTCTTAACTCCAGTTCTAGGGAATCGGATGCTGTCTTCTGACCTCTGTAGGCACTTACATGGTGCACTTACATCTATGCAGGCAATATACTCATAAACATAAACTAAAATTAAGTAAAATATTTTAAAAAAAGAAACAACTAACAAAAAAAGAGGTATGAGAGTTAACAAGTCACCTTAAAGTTGTCACAATTAAACTTGTTACAAGCCTGAATGATCAAGAACATTAAAAGGTGGTAAGGGCTAAAGGTGTATCTAAGGGACAGGGTGCTTGCCAGTGTGGGCAAGGCCCTGGGCTGGATTCTTAGCACTGCAAAAACAGCATCAATCATGAGATGCAAAAAATTTTAAATGTATTTTTTATTTATTATTTTTATTTTATGTGTATATGTGTATTACTTGCACCTGTGTTGTACAATGCCCGAGGAGGACAGAAGAGGTCATCAGATCCCCTGGATCTGGAGTTATGATAGTTGTTAGCTGCCATATGGGTGCTGGGATTCGAACCTGTGTCCTCTGCAAGAGTAGCCAGTTCTCTTAACTGCTGAGCCATCTCTCCAGCCCCATGAGATGCAAATTAAAATAATAATGTAATGCCATCTCATACACTCTAGATAGCTAAATCAGAAAGACTGACACCATTAAATGTTGGCAAGATATGGAGCAACTGGAACTTACACGTTATTGGTGGGCTGTAAAACAGTACAGCTTCTTGAGAGACTATGTTTTTGTTTTTACAAAGTTTAACAAACACACAAGCATCAAATATCCTAAAACTTCACAATCCTACTCCCAACTCATTTAATCATGAAAAGTGAAAACATGCAGCAACAAAAAATTTTTTCATACATGTTCACAGCATCAGTCTTGTTTATAGGAATCACATACTACAGGCTGGGCATGGTGGCACATGCCTTTAGTCCCAGCACTTGGGAGGCAGAAGCAGGTGGATCTCTGTGAGTTTGAGGCCACCCTGGTCTACATAGAGAGTTCCAGACCAGCTGGGACTACAGTGAGACCCTGTCTCAAAAAGACACACAGACATACACAGACACACAGACACACACACACACACAGAATCCAAAATAGTCCTAGCATTTGGGAGGCAGAGGCAGGCAGATCTCTGTGAAATGAAGGTCAGCCTGGTCTCCATAGAGTTCCAGGTGAGCTGGGCTACAAGAAGACCCTGTCTAAAACAAACAAATAAACAAACATAAAGTCAATACACACAAAATAAGGATGAATTATTCTAAAAACAAATTTTTAAAAAGCCAAACATAATACCATATCATGCCATTTTTAAAGACAAATCCAATAGGTATGTCTATGCATCCATCCATCCATCCATCCATCCATCCATCCATCCACCCACCCATCCATCCACTTATTTTGTGGTGGTGGAGATGGAATCCAGGACTTGGGCGTGGTAGATCAGTGCTCTGTCACTGAGCCACACCCTTGGCTGTGTGGTTCAGTAACTATGTGGGATCTAAAAAGAGGCACAAGGTTCTTGGCACCTGGAGAAGGGAAGAGATTGGATGCAGACAAGTCCAGCTCTAATCCTGGTCTCTCACCATATTGGTGGGCAACTCCATTGGTGAGCCTCCATTTACTTACCCACCAAATGGGAATAAAATACATCCTGTCTACTTGAAAAGGGTTACATGAGGATTAACGAAGAGTTGGGATCTATACAATCCCTCACATATAAGGAATTAAAGTTGTCACAAGCCAAGCTTGGCGCTGCTTAGCTGTAATCCTAGCACTCAAAGGACTATGGGGTCAAAGCCAGCCTGGGCTACATGGCAAGACTGTTTCAAAAAAAAAGCTAATTAAAAAAAACAAGTAATCACACTGACTTATGACATAAAAAGCTAGAAAAAAGTATCTTCTCAAAAGTCAAATACTTAACGATCTTAAAGGAAGTATCAGGAAAAGCCACTGCCCGAACAGCTCCACCCAGCAAATCACCAATTCACCTGTTGGTGTGATAATAGTGGCTCTGCAGCGACTGGGACACACCCTGCATGCTGGACCGCTTTCTCTCCACCTCCTTCCAGCCATCTTCTGTCCATTTCCTCTTCATCTGCTTGTCTTCCTGCCTCTTCCCCACGTACTCAGCATAGGTCTGGATCCGATAGCTTTCTGCATATTTGCTGGTGTTGACAGCTATAAAGAAAAGAAGGAAATCCTTACTAGAGACAAGAGGGGGCTGGAGAGTGGCTCAGTGATTAAGAGCACTTGCTACTCCTGCAGCGGACCCTGGTTTGATTCTCTACAATGATATGGGGCAGTTCACAACAGCCTATAACTCCAATTCCAGGGACTCCACCACCTTCTTCTGGCCTCTGTGGGCACTGGCATGCATGTGATGCACATACATAAGATGCAGGTATTCACACATACATCTAAAATAAAATAAATCTTAAAAACAAAGCAACAACAAACAGATGACAATGCCACTTAGCAAAGGAGGCCTATGGTGACCAAAGGCACCCTGGCCCAGGTCTGAGCTCTGATCCTGGCACTGCCACGTAGGAGACCATTGCTGAACACATTCCCCTCACATGGTGACAAGTCACTGTTCCTTAGTCTTCCCCAGTGTGAGGGGCTTGGTATACTGGAAAGCACTGTAATCTGCAAATAAAGCATTGACTTTCAAGTTACTTTTTCAAGTTACATTTTCAGAGTAAGAAAGTGAAAATAAATAACCACTGGGCAAAAACTGTAAACTCTAAAATAAAAGTGATAATGGAATTGTATGGACAGTGGCCTGACCACTGTGTCAAACACAGAAGGCATCTGTACGCTGTACTTTGGAGATACTGTGTCATAGTATTCCATGAGAGAGAATTCTGGTCTTTAATGATGAGAAACAATGGGCTGGCTCAGTCAGTAAAATGAGTGCCTTGCAAGTATGAGGACTTGAGTTCAAATCACCAGAACTCACGTTACAAAAGTAGCTGGGTACAGAGGTAAGTGCCTGTAATCCCAGCAACGGGGACATGGGAGACAGAGACAGGCAGATCCCTGAAAGATCAAAGGTCCAGAAGTTCCAGGCCAATGAGAGACCTTATCTCAAACTAAACATGGAAGGCACCCAAGGATCAACACCTGAGATGGTCCTCTGACCTCCACACATGCATGTGCTGTGCACATGTGCACCCCCCCGCCACCACACACACACAAAATGAGAAACAAGGTTACAGAGTCAGGGATTTGCCTGATTGTTAAACCAACAGGACTCAATATCAGGTTACTCCATCCCAACTGCCAGATATCTCCAACAATCCTTGACACTTGACCTTTCTCCATCACTTTTAAAGATTCCTGATTCCATGCACGGTACTTCTGACTAGCAGGAGAGCTTGAAAGCCAGAGTTATTCTCTCTGGGCACAAATGCTTCTAACTTCTACTATGGCTGGGCCATAGTTACTTTTATTTTTGTTTCTGTTTTACAGTGCTGAGCATGGGAACCTGGGCATGGAACACCCAGGCCAAGTGTTCTGCCACTAACTGAACTACAAGCCAGTTGTGATGTGGTTACTTTTGTTCTAAACCCATAGTGCTCCTTTCTCTAAGGCTGGTGGATAGAACACGGTGGCCATAAGGGAGTGATGATGGATAGACAGCCTATCCCAGGTGGATGGCTCCCACATGCTGATGCTGGTTCATGAAGTTTGGGCATGTGCTTTCCTTGCCCACTGTCACTACCAATAGTTATTTCCTACACTGGTAGGGAGGTAAGAGCTTAGCCATGCTGCCAGGGCAGCCTTGGAACCTGGGTGGCTATACCAGCACCATGATGTTCAGTCTATACACCTGTACCTAGCAGAGTTCTTGGTAGAGAAGTGCTCGATGTTACATGAATGAATGTGTAAAGGCAGCTTGGAGAGATGAGCACACAGTATCTGGGTATCCCAGAATTGGACAATGGGCCGGGCTTGATGGCACAGACCTGTAATCCCAGCACTCAGGAGGACAAGGCAAAAGTCTAGCTTAAGGCCAGCCTAAGTTTATAATGAGTTCTAGGCAAATTTGGCCTATAGGGCAAGATCCTGTCTTTTTCTTTTTTTTTTTTTCTTTTTTTTAAAAGAAATTAAAGCTGGGTGTGGTAATGCATACCTTTAATCCCAGTGCTAGGGAGGAAGGGGTAGGGGCAGGGGGATCTCTGTGAGATCAAGGTCACCTTGGTGTACAGACAGTTTCAGACCAGTTGGGGCTTTAGGAGCACCTGACACTTTTTAATCTTTAAGTGGCCAGATTTGACTAAAATTTCTCAGCACAATGGTTTACAGAATGTCATACCCGAAATATTTAGGAATCTAATCTATAAAAGTTAAGAAGGGCTGCCTGGAGGGAGGGCTCAGTTGGTAAAGTACCTGCTGTGTGACCAGGAAGACCTAAGTTTGGATCCTTAGAACCCAGGTAAAAAGCCACAGGCAGCAGTGTGCTCCTGTAACTCTAGCACTGGGGCTCAGGGAATAGGATCAAGCAGATTCCTGCAGCTCGTTGGCCAGCAGAGTCCTATCCATGAGCTTCAAAGCTCACTAAGAGACTCTGTCTCAAAAACATAAAGGTGGAGAGTAAGCCCAGAAAGACACCCTTTGTTGACTACAGATCTCCACATACATGAGCACCCATGTGCACCCACATTCATATGTGGACATAACCACACTAACAAGTAGGATCAAGCAGATTCCTGCAGCTCGTTGGCCAGCAGAGTCCTATCCATGAGCTTCAAAGCTCACTAAGAGACTCTGTCTCAAAAACATAAAGGTGGAGAGTAAGCCCAGAAAGACACCCTTTGTTGACTACAGATCTCCACATACATGAGCACCCATGTGCACCCACATTCATATGTGGACATAACCACACTAACAAGTACAACCCCCCCCCACATACTCCACAGACTCATTCCCCCCAACACACAAAGATTTAAAAGAAAATAAGAACTTCACTTCTTTTTTTAATGCTTTGAAGAATTATTTTTGTAATCATTTAAAAAAAATTTTAATAACTACATGATTAGAAGAAGCATTTCACTACAGATTTAACATATTCAGTAACACACTCCAGAGCAACAGTACATCTCCTTCACAAGTGGGTGAAGTTTCTAGGTTCACAGTTGAGGTAATAGTTATACAATATTGAACTCAGTATAAGCCCTGTAAGACATAAAATTGAATGAGTTTTTAACCTTTAAAAAAGATCTCCATT